CCAAGTGAGTGTGGCCCCCGGGAGCCTCTGGCTTCCCACGGCACCTCCTCTTCCCAATGTTTGAGCCTTGGGAGCAGGGGTGGTCACCCAATCCAGCTGGAGCTGAGGGGAAGCACAGCTGGGTCCTGGGAATCTGCCCTGAGCCTGAACACCCGGAATCTGCTGGATCGGGGGCCTCAGGGGGGTGGGAAAGGTGTGGGACCCTTCAGCTCCCACGGGAACATCCTCTGCTCCCAAGGGAATAGGAACATGGTTCCCAAGGGAACAGGATTCTGGCTCCCAAGGGAATAGAATCCCGTGCTCCCAAGGAAACAGGCTCTGTAATCCCAAGGAACAGCATCTAATCCCAAGGAACAGCCTCTAATCCCAAGGAACAGGCTCTCTAATCCCAGGGGCACAGGCTCAGTGGGACCCTGCTCCTCCCAGGCTGTTCCTGGCATTCCTGGGGTGCTGCTGTGCTGGGAATGCTGCCCATCCCTCGGCACCACCCCCTGAGATCCCGTGGGATGCAGGGCAGACCCGTTGGAGTGTCCTGGTGTTCCCTGGGGACACGTCTCAGCACCGGGATGGGTCCTCAGAGCAGGAGCAGAAATCCATGGGCATAAATCCGGGGGGTTGGAGTCTCCAGATCCCTTCCCGTCCCTCCTGACATTCCCAGGCCCCCCATCCCAGTGGGACCCCACCCCCCATTCCCCCCCTCCCAGTGCCGGTGGCTCCAGGGGAGTTCCCTGTGCCGTTCCAGGTTGGATTACTCGGGAATCGCGCTGCTGATCATGGGCAGCTTCGTGCCCTGGCTCTACTACTCCTTCTACTGCTCCCCCCAGCCGAGGCTCATCTACCTCTCCATCGTCTGTGTCCTGGGAATCTCCGCCATCATCGTGGCCCAGTGGGACCGATTCGCCACCCCCAAGCACCGGCAGACACGGGCAGGTGGGAATGGGGAATGGGAATGGGGGAGTGGGGATGGGAATGGGAAATGGGAATGGGGTGTGGGGAGTGGGAATGGGAATGGGAGAGTGGGGAATGGGAATGGGAAATGGGAATGGGGTGTGAGGAATGGGGAATGGGAATGGGGGAGTGGGGAATGGGAATGGGAAATGGGAATGGGGTGTGAGGAATGGGGAATGGGAATGGGGGAGTGGGGAATGGGAGTGGGAAATGGGAATGGGGTGTGAGGAATGGGGAATGGGAATGGGGGAGGGGGGAATGGGAGTGGGAAATGGGAATGGGGTGTGAGGAATGGGGAATGGGAATGGGGGAGTGGGGAATGGGAGTGGGAAATGGGAATGGGGTGTGAGGAATGGGGAATGGGAATGGGGGAGTGGGGAATGGGAGTGGGAAATGGGAATGGGGTGTGGGGAGTGGGAATGGGAATGGGAGAGTGGGGAATGGGAATGGGGAATGGGAGTGTCAAATGGGGAATGGGGTGTGGGGAGTGGGGAATGGGGGAATCGGGGGGAAATAGGGGAAAGATGGAGGGATTGGGGGAAATTGGGGAAATTTTGGGGGGAATATGGAGGAAATCAGGGAGAAATTGAGGAAACTTGGGGGAAATTGGGGGGAAGATGGAGGGATTGGGGGAAATTGGGGAAATTTTGGAGGGAAAATAGAGGAAATCGGGGAATGGGGAAATTTGGGGGGAAATTAGGGAGAGATGGAGGGATTGGGGGAATTATGGGGGAAAGTGGAGGAAATTAGGGAGAAATTGGGGAAATTTGGGGGAAAACTGGGGGGAAGATGGAGGGATTGGGGAGTTCTAGATCCCTGTTTGAGGAAGGATCAGTGCCAGAAGGAGTGGCCAAGGTCAGGGAGCGTTTGGAGAAGTTCAGGGAGAGTTTGGAGAAGTCCAGGGAATGTCTGGAGAAGTTTGAGGAATGTCTGGCCAAGGCCAAGGAGCATTTGGCCAACGCTCTCAGGGATGGGGTGGGTTGTTGGGTCTGGTCCTGTGCAGGGTCTGGAGCTGCACTTCATCCTTGAATAAAGTCAAGGAGCGTTTGGGGAAGTTTGAGGAACGTTTGGAGAAGTTCAAGGAGCGTTTGGCCAAATTCAGAGGAGTGTTTGGAGAAGCTCAAGGAGAGTTTGGAAAAGTTTGAGGAACGTTTGGCGAAGTTCAAAGAATGTTTGGGGAAGTTGGAGGAGAGTTTGGAGGAGTTCAGAGAGTGTCTGGAGAGGTCCAAGGAGCGCTTGGCCGACACTCTCAGGGACAGGGGGGGTTGTTGGGGCTGGAGCTGCCCTTGGCCCTCGGGGGTCCCTCCCAGCTGGGCCATTCCAGGACTCTGGAGGAGAGGGATCTCCCCTGGGAGGAGGTTCCCTGGCACGGGACGGGGACTGGGGGTGCCGGGGCCGTGCCTTGACGCCGCCCTGGGCACCCAGGGGTGTTCCTGGGGCTGGGGCTGAGCGGGGTGGTGCCCACCCTGCACTTCACCATCGCCGAGGGCTTCGTGAAGGCCACCACGGTGGGGCAGATGGGCTGGTTCTTCCTCATGGCCGTCATGTACATCACGGGCGCCGCCCTCTACGCCGCCCGCGTGCCCGAGCGCTTCTTCCCGGGCAAGTTCGACATCTGGGTGAGTCGGGGGCTGGGGGGCACACGGGGGGGCTGGGGGGGCACAGGGGGCAGAGCTGGGCCGGGAGGGGGGCATTGAGGGGGGCACTGGGGGGTCGGGGGGGTGGGGACGGCACTGGGAGAGTGGGATGGGACAGTCGTGGGGCAGCGAGGAGCAGCTCCTGGTGCCCCCTGTGACTCCTGTCCCTGTGCCAGCACAGGCCCTGTGCCCCCTGTGCCACCACAGTTCCTGTGTCTCTGTGCCACCTGTCCCTGTGTCCCTGTCCCTGTTTCCCTGTCCTTGTGCCAGTCCCAGAGCAGTGAGGGGGAGGAGAAGGAGGTCCTGGTGTTTCTGTGTCCCTTTTTGGGGAGATCTCACCTGGGAAGTTGGGCAAAACTTGGGGGAAAACAGAGGAAATTGGAGGAAAATCAGGGGATTTGGAGAAGAAAATGGTGAAATTGGTGGAAAGTGGGTTAAATTTGGGTTGGAAACGGAGGATTTGCTCTGCTCTAAAGGGCTTCCCCCCCCCCCCCCCCCCCAGTTCCAGTCCCATCAGATCTTCCACGTGCTGGTGGTGGCCGCAGCCTTTGTCCACTTCTACGGGGTGTCCAACCTGCAGGAATTCCGCTACGGGCTGGAAGGGGGGTGCACAGACGACTCCCTGCTCTGAGGGCACCGCCTGCTTTTAGTCCAAGCTTTCCTCAAGTGCTTTTTAAACTTTTTGTCTTTGCTCAGATCCAAGGAAGACTCAAAAACTGGGTTTGGGGGTTGCTGGTGGGGTCTTTTGTTGTTCTTTGGGTTTGTTTTTTTTTAAAGAAATGGAGAAATCCTTTAGGAAAGTCATCGACCAAATCTTCACCCCCTCCCCCCAGTGGGGTCTGGGGGGGTTTGGGGGCTCCCCCAGGCCGGGTTGAGCTGCACTGGGGACTCCCCCAGCACAGGCAGCAGCTGCTGTTCCTGCCCAGCCGAGCACATCCCGCCCCTCATCGACCCCACATATCCCCCCGGGAATTCTGCGGCTCCCAGGGCAGCTTCCGGGGCACAGAGCGTGTAATTTAAAATGTTTTAATTGTCCTTTTTTTCAGTTTGTTTTTTCCTTGACCATGTAAAGAGAAAGGAGGGTATTTAATATTTAAACCGAGCTTTAAAGGCAGCCCCTCGGCCAGGAGGGGCAGGGGGGGCTGGTCTGGGAATCAGAGCTGCTGTAGAGACAATAAAAGGTCACTGGATCAGTGTCACCCGAGCCCGTCACTGTGTCACCCTTTCTGTGCCACCCCCCTGGGGGGGGACAGAAGCAGCTGCTCAAGGGGCGTGGGGGGCTCCGGCACCCCCAGAGTGGGGCAGGGGGATCTGGACTGAGCCAATAAACTGGGATTAACTGGGAATTCTGGGGGGTTGTGGTGGGGATGGGGTGGGAAAAACCCCTCTGGCTGGGGCAGCCTTGGGGGGGAAATTCCTTCTGGGATCAGGGGCAGGAGGGGGCACAGCCTGGGCAGGGCCCTGAATGGGGCTCAGAGACCACTGAGGGGCAGAGCCCAGCTTAGTAGAGCCCAGCTCAGGCAGCTGAAGGCCACTGCTTGTGGCAGGGCTGAGGGACGAGGGACGAGCGTGGGCAGGGCCACCATGGCCACTGTGCCCCTGGCCCTGTGCCACCTGGGCTGAGCCTGACTAATCCTGCACCCCCTGTCCTACCCAGGCTGAGCCCAGCTGATCCTGCACCCCCTGTCCTACCCAGGCTGAGCCCAACTGATCCTGCACCCCCTGTCCTACCCAGGCTGAGCCCAGCTGATCCTGCACCCCCTGTCCTACCCAGGCTGAGCCCAACTGATCCTGCACCCCGTCTCACTCAGGCTCAGCCCAGCTGATCCTGCAGCCCTGTCCCAGCTCCAAGGGATGAGAGCCGAGCCCTGGAGTCCTGGGCTGGCTGTGGGACAGGCAGGAGGGGGGGAAGTGTCCCTCTGGAGGACACAGGATGAGCAGGATCTCACACACTTTGTCCAACCCTCTGCCAACGTTCCCAGGGTCTAACACCCCTCAGTTTTCCCATTCTCAGCTCTTGGCTCCGTTTGCTCCTCCCTGGGCAGAGGAGAAGCCACAAAGTCACTCCGATGTTCCTCGAGGCTTTCAGGATGTTGGATCAGCCCCTGGCAAGGATCAGCAGGGACTGACCCAGGTCAGGAATTGCCCTGGCAAACCTGGATGGGGCAGGGACTGTAACTGCTGGAGCAGGGAAGGGCCTCCCCGGCAGGAGTTGGGACAAAGCCAGGAGCAGGTGCTGGAATTGGGATCCCAGTGGAAGCTGAGGCTGTGCTGGCAGCAGGAATGAAGGTGCAACACTTCCCCCTCTAGCCCCACACCCCAAATCCAGGCTGAAATTCCAGCTGCAGGTGCCACATTCCCAGAGGAGACTCCAAGACTTTCACTCCAGCGTCCCAAGGATGACAAGACTCCGTGTGCTCCATGTCTCAAACCTCCTTGTAATTCCAGCCCACGTGTAACATTACAGATGGGAATTATTGGGAATAAATAGATTTGTCATCTCCTAAAAGTTCTCCTGAGCTCTGGGAAGTGCTGCAGGTGTTCCTGGGAGGGGGAGGGGAGGGACATCCCATCCCATCCCGGGGCTCCCAGGCCCCTCACTGGTACTGTTGATAGTTGCTGAACGGGGGGGGCTGGAGCTGGGAGGGATCCTCGGACAACTGTGGGCCTGGAGAGGGAGAGGAGAAGCAAATCAATCCCAAAAGGCAGGAGATTCCTCCTGCAAACAGTGGGTTGGTTCAGATAAATCCCCCTGGAAATTAATCCCCAATCCCAGCCTGGTTTGAGTTTCACAAAGACTGTCAGAGGTTTCACAGAATCCTGGAATGGTTTGGGTGGGAAGGGACCTCAAATCCCATCCAGTCCCACCCCTGCCCTGGGCAGGGACACCTCCCACCATCCCAGGCTGCTCCAACCTGGCCCTGGACACTCCCAGGGATGGGGCAGCCACAGCTTTTTTGGGAATTCTATCTCAGCCCCTCCCCACCCTTACAGGGAGGAATTCCTTCCCAAAATCCCATCTAACCCTCTGGCAGTTGCTCCCCCCAGCACTGGGTTGGGAAGCTGAATCCACAATTGTACCATTCCAGCGGTTCCTTTATCCCCGGGGTTAAACCTTCTCAGAGGGGTTGAGGGCACCTCCAGGGCACTGAGGGGCCTAGAAAGGGTTCCCTCTCCCTGCTGGGAAACCTGGGAGCAGTCTGGGATAGTGGGAGGTGTCCCTGCTCGGGGCAGGGGTGGGACCGGATGGGACTGAAGGTCCCTCCAACCCAAACCATCCTGGGATTCTCTGACAGAGATATTTAGGATTTTCCACAGTCACCAACCCAACTGACACCCCATCTATTGTTTTACTTGGGGAAAAAAAAAGGGAATGTGGGTTTTGAAGTTCAGGGAAAGGAAAACCCCTCAGTCTTCCTGGAAATGGGTTATCTGGGTCTGCCAGGAACTTATCAGCTCCTGCACAAGGGGCTCCCACACCCGCGCTGCCAGGACCTTCCCTGGGCTGCCAGGACCTGCTCTGGGCTTCCAAAACTTTCCCTGGGCTGCCAAAATGTGTTCTGGAGCCAGGCTGGGAGAGTTGAGAATGTTCCCCTGGAGAAGAGAAGGCTCCAAGGAGACCTCAGAGCCCCTTCCAGGGCCTAAAGGGGCTCCAGGAGAGCTGGAGAGGGACTGGGGACAAGGGATGGAGGGACAGGACACAGGGAATGGCTTCCCTCTGCCAGAGGGTTGGATGGGATATTGGGAAGGAATTCCTGGCTGGGAGAGTGGGAAGGGGCTGGGATGGAATTCCCAGAGAAGCTGTGGCTGCCCCTTCCCTGGAAGTGCCCTGGATCAGGTTGGACGGGGCTTGGAGCAACCCAGAAGGAGCCGATGATATCCCAGGGGTCTCCCTAGCTTTCCAGAGCCCCAGGAACTGCCAGATTCCCTCTGGGATACGAGTGCTGGTTGGAAGAGGCCGATCCCTGGGATCCCCCTGTGCCGGCTCCTCACCGTTGGGGAACTGGGTGGAGGCAAATCTCGTCAGCAGAATTCCCGCTCCCTCGATGAGCGCCAGGAGAATCCCTCCCATGGCAGCGGATCCCACCATGGCCACGGGCCCGTCTGGAATGGGAAGCACAAACACACCTTGGACTTTTGGCTGCAGTGGTTCCATGTTAGACATTCCCAAAATCCTGCTTTGGGTGGGAAGGGACCTCAAATCCCATCCAGTCCCACCCCTGCCCTGGGCAGGGACACCTCTCACCATCCCAGGCTGCTCCAGCCTGGCCTCGGGTACTTCCAGGGATGGGGCAGCCACAGCTTCTCTGGGAATTCTATCCCAGCCCCTCCCCTCCCTCCTCCCTGTGCATTTGGATCTCTCCCAAAAGCAGACTTGGAGCAGTGACTTCCCATCAATTCAGGGATCTATTAAGGGATAATTCCTGGGCAACTCCCCCCTCCCAGGAACACCAGGAACCTTTGGGAACCTGGGAATTCCTTTCCTGAGCCCAGCAGGGAAGTCTTGGGTGATTTTCCAGTGGGCAGCAGATCCCAGTGAGGGTGTCCCACACCCTGCCACGGGAACTGGGATGTTTGGGGGTTTTGAGGGATTTTCCCAGTCTCTTACTCCGTGCGGCCAAAATGGCTCCGGTCAGGGCTCCGCTGGTGATGGAATTCCAGGGATCCTCCTTGCCCCTCATCCGGACCATGCTGCAGTCGATCATGGAGAAGAGCCCTCCCCACACGGCAAAGCTCCCTGTGCAAACAGCCGGGATTGGGGGGGAAACCCGGGAATGGCACCCCGGAAACCAGGGAATGCCTCCTTGGAAACCAAGGAATGTTTCCCCCATAAACCAGGGAATGCAGCCCCCAACCCACCCAGAGCAGCTAAAATCACTGGAAAAGGGGGAATTCCCACCCTGTCATTCCAGGGATGGCTCCCCACACATAATTAACCCAGGAACTTAAATGAAATTTAAATTAATTCATTACATTAATTAATTTAATTTATTGAATAAATTAAATTCCCAAACTTGGGAATTTAAATGTAATTTAAATTAACTCATTAAATTAATTAATTTAATTTATTGAATAAATTAAATTCCCAAACTTGGGTATTTAAATGAAATTTAAATCAATTCATTAAATTAATTCACTGGGAAATCAGGGAATTAATTAAATGAATTGTATTATCTATTAATTGATTATTCATTTTTGATAATTATTAAATATTATTAAGCATTAATTATTATTTATATATTAATTGATAATGAATTAAATAAATACATTAAATTAATTTAACTTAAGAAATTAAATTCCCAAACTTGGTTATTTAAATGAAATTTAAATAAATTCATTAAATTAATTTAATTCCCTGGGAAACTAGGGAATTAATTAAATGAATTATATTAAATAGTAATATTAGCTACTAAATATTATTAAATAATAATTACTAATTAATTATATGTTAACCAACGATGAATTAAATTAATTTAATGTAATAAATCAAATTTCCAGGCTTGGTTATTTAAATGCAATTTAAATTAACTCATTAAATGAATTTAATTTAATAAATCAAATTCCAGAACTTGGGTATTTAAATGCAATTTCCATTAACTCATTAGATAAATTTAATTTACTAACTCCAATTCCCAAACTCAGGTATTCCAGTGCACTGCCAATTAACCCCTTCACTAATTACCCCCGAGCTGCGGTGCCCTGGTCCTGACGGCGGTCAGGCTGCCCCTCAGCCGGTGGCTCACGCCCTGCAGAGAGAGACACCCCATAAACCCGGGAGATCCCAACCCATTCCCAGTTACCTGTGCAATCCCACATTCCCGGCAGGCACAGGAGTAATTCCAGGCTCCGCTGAGAGATCCCAACCCATTCCCAGTTATCTGTGCAATCCCACATTCCCGGCAGGCACAGGAGTAATTCCAGGCTCCGCTGAGAGATCCCAACCCATTCCCAGTTACCTGTGCAATCCCACATTCCCGGCAGGCACAGGAGTAATTCCAGGCTCCGGGGAGGATCCGGAGCCCAGGTGGGGACCAGAAGGGGCAGTAAAACCACATTAAACCACATTTTCGGCTCCTGTTTTTCCACCTCTTTCATTGGTTTTTTATTCATGTCTTCGGTTTTGTTCCCCATTCCCGTTTTCCCAGCAATCCAACCACCTGTCCCAAACTCAGGCGTTCAGTTGGGATATTCAGTTCTTGTTCCTGAGCTTTAAACCCGGAGCTGAGCCTTGCAGAGCCCAGCATCAAATGTGCCAGAGTTACAGTTGAACACATTTCCCCCCATTTCCATGGGATTTAAAGGATTGTTAATGAAATGGGAACAAAAATGGTAAGGATTAAATAAAAAATGGTAATAAAATGGTAACAATTAAATTAAAAATTGTGATAAAATGGTAAGGATTAAATAAAAATTGTTAATGAAATGGTAACAAAAATGGTAAGGATTAAAAAAAAGGGTAATAAAATGGTAAGGATTAAATAAAAAGTGGTAATAAAATGGTATGGATTAAATAAAAAATGGTAATAAAATGGTGATAAAATGGTAAGGATTAAATAAAACAAGTTAAAATGGTACCAAAACTGGTCCTGACTGAATAAGGGTAACTAAGGAATTCTCCAGGGGAGGCAGAGCTCTGAGCCAGGAGATGGGACCCCGAGCCGGGACAGCCCCTCCTGGCCTGGATCCCAGTCATGCATCAGCCCCATCCCCTGATGTTCCTCCTTCCCCTTGGCTCCCACATTCCCTGGGAAGGGCAGGACTTCACTCACCACTGGAGAATTCCGGAAGCCCTTGATGGCCTGGAAGATCCCCCCTCCGATGGCCCCCATGGTGAAGGCCCCTCCGCAGTCATCCACGATCCTCCAGGGACTGCGGGAACAACGGGGTGGGAATGGGGAATGTCAGTCTGGGAATGGGGAATGCCAGCCTGGGAAAGGGCTGGGACAGGGCAGCGCCCAGGCCCTGCCGGGACTGGGGTGGAGATCTGCCCCAATTCCAACAGAACCTAGGGCATACTGCAGCAAACACTGCCCCACATCCAACAAAACCCAGGGAATACTGCAGCAAACCAACCCAACTTTGCCATTTCACCCCCCCTCCCAACGTCCCTGGAGCAGGAGGGATCCAATATCCAGAATTTCCCACACTCCTGAACTTTTCCCCACTGCCCACACAAGACAGAGACATATTTCCATCACAGAAAAGTGCAGAATTCCAGCTCTGCCCTACATCCATCACATTCCCTGATCCCACTCTTGTCCTGTTCTATGGAAAACTGAAGGGCCAAATTCCCTGAGATTCCAACGTCCTTTTCCTGAATCCCTCACACTTCTCATCAGCTCTGCCTATTTAACTGAGACTTCCAAGCCAGTTTTGTTAGGCTGGGACGGTTTTTCCTGGTGCATCCTGGATCCTTGAAGTCCATTCCCACCAAAACAGCTCCCGGAGGAGCAGCAGCCACAACTCCTGCTCCAGAATCCTGCGCAGGAGCCCCTTCCTGCTGGGAACACCGTCAGCTCTGGCAGGTGAGTCTCACTTTGGGGCTCAGAACCTCTGCCCAGCACTGGAGCCTTGTGACACTAAACCCAGCTCCTACACTAGGCCAGGCCTAAGCTGCCAATAACCCCTGTTGTCCCTGGGTGATCCCAGAGCACAAAATAACAAACTCCTTGGGGTGTTTTTCATCCTGCAGCCAAATGTTCCAGCCCAGCACGGGGGATTTAACTCCTGCACTGCCAAGAGTCAGGAAATGCAGGAAAACTCAGCTCCAACACCAGTCAGGGTCCCAAAGGTGACCCCCACGGCAGGATCAGGGATTTCTGGTTTCTCTGGGAATGGGGGTGTCCCTGAGGCTCCCCACAGCTCCTGCCCGTGGGGACACGGACCCCAACCCTCCTCCAGAGCACCCAGCGAGGAGGGGGTGAGGATGAGGAGTGGGCTGAGGATGGGGGGGAACTGAGGATGACGGGAGTCCCTGGATGAGGGAAGGCTGTGGATGAGGAGGGGCTGAGGCCGAGGAAGGGCTGAGCAGTGACAAACCTCTCCTCTGTCCCAGCCCCCCGTCCTGCAGACTTTGTCCCAGGGTGTTTTTTCCCTGCAAACACCCTCTGATTTGCAGTCCCTCCTCCTGCCCATGACCTACTTTGGGATCTCTCCCTCCCTGCACCCCTGACCCAGGGCACTCCTGTGGGCACAGGGGACACTTGGCTTGGGCACCCTGGCTTGTCCCCAGTGCCACCCCCATCCAGATCCCATCCCCACCCCATGGATTTTATCCTTCCTCCCGTTCTGTTTCTGTGCCCTGCTCTCATCCCATCTCACCTCCTCACGACCCCCTCCACCCCGACCGAGTTCAATAATTCAGTTTATTTTCCTTCCTCTCCTTCCTGCTCTTAATGCCCAGGAAAAGGTTCCAGGCACACTGCTGTCAGAGATGCCAAGATGAAAAGCAACTCAAGTGTTCCTTCCCAGGGATTTTCTGCTGTTTTGTTCTCAGGTCTCCCAGTGCAGGTTTTGATCTCCTCTGTTATGAATAAAACATCTCACCCCAACTCTCCCCATTCCTTAACTCAGTGATCTCCTTAAAAGGCCTTTTGGAAATCTAAATGGATTATGTGGAGTGGGCTTCTCTTACCCACAAAGTCAGGGCATTCCAATTAACCAAGTCACGGCCTCATTAACGAGCCCCCAATCATGGAAGGCTCCCCTCCACTCCTCCCCTCTTTAACCTCATCAGCTGTTGCCTTTTGGGTTCTTCATTTTCATCTTAAACTCCTCCCCAAGCCTGAGCAGCTTTTAAAGGAGAGAGCCCCTCTTTGATGCCAGCACAGCCCCCCTCCCTCAGGGCTGACCCACAGCCCTGCCAAGCCTGAGCACTGCCTGACCTGCTGAAGGAGCAGAGGAGAGGAAAAGAGATTATTCCATTATTAATTTACCACTTCTCTCCAAGCCTAATGTTACAGGGAATTGTTCCCCTGACTCTGCAGGGAAGGGATGTGGGGGATGAGGTCGGGTTCCTGCTCCTCACGGCACCAGGGATTGCTCAGAGACAGCAGGGCAGAGGCCAGGACTCCACTTATCCCTCCAAGCCCCAGGGAATCCTGCAGCTCTCCAAAGAGCTGGAAAACCACTGAGATCGGAGTCTAGATAAACAAAGGGGCCTTTTCTCCCCAGGGAAGCAGCCTGAGCCCAGGCAGAGCAGCTGCTGGGGTTGGATAAAGGGACAGGACACAGGGGACCTTGAAGCCCCACACAGCAGCAGGGTAAGGGAGAAGCCTCAGCCCATGCCAGGGGAAGCTCAGGATGGACATCGGGAGGAATTTCCTCATGGAAAAAGTGGTCAGGCACCGGAATGGGCTGCCCAGGGAAGCTTGGAGTCCCCCTCCCTGGAGGTGTCCAAGGATGTGGCACTCAGTGCTCTGGGCTGGGATCGGGTGCAGCTCGGACTCGATGGGCTGGGAGGGCTTTTCCAACCTCGGGATTCTGGGATTAGCTGGAGCCCACGGCAAACTATCAATAAACACAATTTATTTTGCTCGTGTCCCAGAATTTGTGCTGTGGAAAGGCTGGGGTTGACTCTCATGGAGAAAGTTAACACGTGGTAACAGAGTGACTGGCAAAGTTTGGGAAAAGCATCAGGAACAGCCCCAGGTCTCTGTTTGCAGAGCTGAGCGTAACCATGGAATTCCAGGATGGTTTGAGTGGGAAGGGACCTTATATCCCATCCAATGCCACCCCCTGCCATGGGCAGGGACATCTCCTACCATCCCAGGCTGCTCTGACCTGGCCTTGGACACTTCCAGGCATGGGACAGCCACAGCTTCCCTGGGAATTCCATCCCAGCCCCTCCCAGGGAAGGATTCCTTCCCAATATCCCATCTAACCCTCCCTCTGGCAGTGGGAAGCCATTCCTCTTGTCCTGTCCCTCCACCCCTTGTCCCAGGTCCCTTCCCATGCTGATAAAGCTGCTCAGGACTCTGTAACCCTGAGCCCGAGTTTTCATTTAAACCTTTTATTGCTGCAAATAAAACCTCTGAGCTGCCACTGACGTGGCTGCGGAAGTCCACAGGGACAGCACCGAAATGCCAGGGAGGGCTGGGGGGCTCAGGGGGGCTGGGAGCGGCTGGGGGAGCTGGGGGATGAGGGGAGGCTGAGGATGAAGCAGTGCTGTGGATGGGGGGGACTGAGGCTGAGGGGGGCAATGAGGACGAGGAGGAGGTTGGGGGGACTGAGGATGAGCGGGCTGAGGACGAAAGAAGACTTAGGGGAGGCTGAGGGGGGCTGTGGATGAAGGGGCTGAGGATGAGGAGGGCATTGAGCACGAGGGGCGGCCGCAGGCAGGCCGGGGCCCAAAGCACCGCCCGCCGCGGCCCCCACAGGCCCCTGAGCCGCTCGGGCCGCGGGTCCCGCCGGTTCCCTCGGGAGCTCCGGCGGCTCCGCGGGGCTCGGCACAGGCGGGCTCCGACCTACCCGGGACCCGCGGCCGCCGCCGCCTCCCTCAGGGGGCCCCGCCAAGGTCACACCCGCCCCCAGCACAGCGAGCGGCTCCCGCCCCTTCCCGGGCCCGATCCCACTCTCGGGCTCGCTCGTGATCCCAATCCCGGTCCCAGGCCCGATCCCGGGCCCGCTCCCCCCCCCCCCCCCCCCCGCTCCTCACCAGGGCTCCCTCGCGTACTCCTCCATCTTGCCCCGGCCCCGCCGCCTCCCCGCGCGCCATTGGCTGAGCCCGCCCAGCGCCGCCCAATGGAGAGCGCGGGGTGGGACCGAGGGGAGGGGCCTAAGCGTTGATTGACAGGGCCCGAAATGGCGGCGTGTGGGGAGTGCGGGGGGAGGGGTGGAATACCGGGCCCTGCCCCGGGCACCGGCACCTCCCGCTCGGCCTGGTTTCGCCAGGTTTGCCCAGCCTGGCGTTGGGCACTTCCAGGGATGGCGCAGCCTCTGGGAATTCCGTCCCAGCCCCTCACAGTTGGTAAATGTGGGAATGCTTGGCTGTAGAAAATCCTAAATATCTCTGTCAGAGAATTCCAGACTGGTTTGGGTTGGGAGGGACCTTAAACCCCATCCAGTCCCAGACCTGCCATGGGCAGGGACAACTCCCACCAGCCCAGGTTGCGCCAAGTTTGTCCAGCCTGGAATGGACACTTCCAGGGATAGTGCAGCCACAGCTTCTCTGGGAATGCAATACCAGCCCCTGGTGGGGTGTGTTTGGCTCATGGAAAATTTCTTCACGTTGCGGGTGAGGGTTGGGCATACGTGGATTGACACTGGTACAAGCCAATTTGGTACTTAGCCCGGAGTGTGATGTGGTTTTATACTAAACCAACAATGCACAAGGCAAGGTAAGTGGCGCAACGTGTTCTGGCTTCTGCCTTGGCCACAGAGGGGAGATGGGAAAAGTGGGAAATCTTGGCCTCTCCCAGCGCTGGAGCCTTGGGAGCAGCTCGGCCCACTCTCCTGAAAAGGCTGAGACTTCACCCCTGGTGCTGGGCACTGCTGGGTCACACCTCCACCCCGGGGGCACTTCTTGGCCCCTCACGAGACACTTGGGGCCTGGAGCGTGTCCAGGGAAGGGGATGGAGCTGCAGAAGGGGCTGGAGCAGCAGGAGAACTGAGGGAGCTGGGAAGGGGCTGGAGAAGCCCTGAGGGAGCTGGGGGTGCTCAGCCTGGGAAAAGGAGGCTCAGGGGGGACCTTCCCCCTCTGGAATTCCCTGACAGGAGAGGGGAGCTGGGGGGGGGGGGGGGGGGGGGGGGGGGGGGGGGGGCTCTGCTCCCAGGGAACAAGGGACTGGAGGAGAGGGAACGGCCTCAGGCTGAGCCAGGGAGGGTCAGGTGGATACTGGAGAAATTCCAACATGGAAAGGGCGCTCAGGCATTGGAAGGGGCTGCCCAGGGGGGTTTGGAGTCCCCATCCCTGGGAGTGTCAAAAAAAATGTGTGGCTGTGGCACTTGGGGACAGTTTTAGTGGGGGGGGGGGGGGGGTGGGGGGTGGGGGGGGGGTTGATGGTTGGGCTCAGTGGTCTTGGGAGTGGGGTTCTAGCCTTAATAATTCCATGACTCTCCAAGAGTTCCCACACTGGCCCAGCCCTCCTCATGGAGGTGATTCCTTGCTGCAGCCCTTGTCCATCCCAGCACCTGTAAGTCCAGGTTCTCTCCCAGACTTTCCGTGTGTGCTGGGAAGGGACCGGGCAGGACCACAGAGAGCTCCAGGGCGGGGGGTTTGGACACTCCTTTGACTCCTTCCGGCAAAGAAGGCACCAAATGGCCACCAAATGTCCCATTCCTGGGGGTTCCGCTGCCCTCAGCCCCGGCACAGCCATGGAAGGGTCGGGGGAGAAGAGCCAAGAGAGCTGGTCAGGGACTCTCCATCGGGAACTGTGCCAGGACACAGGGAATGGCTTCCCACTGCCACAGGGAGGGTCAGATGGGATATTGGGAAGGAATTCTTCCCTGGGAGGGTGGGGAGGCTCTGGAATCAGTTTCCCAGAGGATGCCCCATCCCTGGAAGTGTCCAAGGCCAGGTTGGATAAAGTTGGAGCAGCCTGGGATAGTGGGAGGTGTCCCTGCCCATGGCAGGGCTGGGACTGGATGAGCTTTGAGGTCCCTCCAACCCAAACCAGGACTCCATGGGACCAGAAGGGGAAGGGACTGGCCTTGTCCCTCCTGATGCAAATGAGCTCCAAGATGAGGGTTGTGGGATCAGGGAGACAGGAATGCTGGGATGAGGTGGGATGGGATCCAAGAGGACAATGTTTAGGGTTGTGCACTTGGAAACCAGAGCCAACAGTTCCTTCTCCAATCTGGAAAAAATCTCAGCCCTGCTGGTGAATCACAGGAAGGGAATGAGCAGGAGCCAGTGGCTGGAGATAAAGAAAAGCCTGGAATGCACCAGGAATCTGCATTTCCAGTCAGGATGGGGAATGTCTGGGTTGGAGAATCACCTGGAGCCCTCACTGACTGTGCTTGGAGGGGGGGGGGGGGAGGGATCTGGGACAGGGGCACGGGCAGAGAGGGGCAGGAAAATCTTAGGAGAGCTTTTTTACCCAGGAAGACCAAAGGGCTCCTTGCCTGGATGAGCAGGGAGAGGCCTGGGAGCAGGAAACCTCAGGAGAGTGATAAAGGATGAAGGAAACAGGGATGAAATGGCAGGATAGTGGATGGTGGAAAAGCTGCCTGGAAACTCAGAGTCTGGGAGAACTCCCAGGGTCGGGGGAGCTTCCCTATGGATTAGGGAGATGGAAAGTTGGTGCCACAGGGCAAAGCCCAGGCTGAGGGCACTGCCTAGAGCAGGAGCAGGAATTGGGGCTGTGCAGAAGGAGGGAGGTCTTAAGGCTTGGCAAGGGCAGGATAGGAGGAAGGGGAGCTGCAGGAGCAGCCCTGCAGAGCTTTGGGAATTGCAGGAGCTCTGATGGAGCCCAGCCCAGGGATGGTGTCGGGTCAGACCCTGCAGAGGTTTGGGAATTGCAGGAGCTCTGATAAATCAACCCAGGAATGGTGTCAGGTCAGATCCAGCAGAGCTTTGGGAATTGCAGGAGCTCTGATAAAATACAAACCAAGTGATGGTTCCAGGGTCAGATCCAGCAGAGGTTTGGGAATTACAGGAGCTCTGGTAAAGCCCAGCCCAGGGATGGTGTCGGAGTCAGATCCAGCAGGAGCACTCTCTTCCAGTGCCTCCATCCTTCTCAAGAAAATCAGTCTGCCCCAGCATCACCACCTCCCCCTCATTCCCAAAAATCTGTGTTAGTGGCACAGAGGGATAGAGAGGAAAACTCGCTCTGGAGCGGCTGCTCCTTGTCCCATCCCGGCAGGAGCTGTCCCTGTCCCAGCAGAGCATGTCCCCAGCACTCGGTAGCCACCCTGCCTGCTTTGGAAGCCCCCCTGGTCCGGGCTGCTCCCCCCATTCTGCCCCTGCCCGCGGCGCGTTTTTCCCTGTTTTCCCCCGGGTTGGCCCATTGCCTTTAAAAGGCGAAATGCTCCGCACTAAATTTGGGCATGCGGCTCTGGCCGCTTCCCTGGAATGTCCTCGGGTTTCAGGCTCCCCCGCTCCCCCCTTCCCCGCCTCCCGCCCGCTCCATTGGCTTCCCGGCTCCCTAACCGCCGCCGGACCCCGGCATTGGCCAGCCCCGGGTTGTCCCCTCTGGAAAACCAGGGAGAGCCACCGGGATTTAACACTTGAGCACCTGCTGCCCCCCGGGAAGCAGCTTCGGGAGCTTCGGCTTCTGATTTTTTCTCTCCTGCCTCGGGAACCCCAAAACCGCCACCGTGTCTCGCCAGAGGGCCAAGATGTCCAAGGTGGCCAAGTACCGGCGCCAGGTCAGCGAGGACCCGGACATCGACAACCTGCTGTCCACGCTGTCCCCGGAGGAGATGGAGGAGCTGGAGAAGGAGCTGGACGTGGTGGACACCGAGGGGAGCGGCCCCGCTGAGAAGAATCAAGCGGAAAACTCCTCCCCCGGCCCCCAAAACTGCGACCCGGAGCTGAACCACCACAGCAGGGAGCCCAGGAGGGTCCTGCGCAGGGAGCAGGCCGTGGATGTAAGTCACGATCCCTCTGGGAAAGGGGGGACACACCTGGAACCCCCCCGGGCTGAGGGAGAGAGGAGGTGGGGAACACAAATCCCAGGAAAGGCTGTGCTGGGGAGGAGCTGCTGTCACAGAGGGACCAGGGGGGTGGTCCAGGCATCCCAGAGGGGACAGGGTGTCCCTGAAATCCTGGTATTCCCCTGAAATCCTGGCGTTCCCCTAAATCCTGGTGTTCCTGTAAAATCCTGGTGCTCCTCTATAATCCTGGTGCTCCTTGCAAAGCCAAAATTGTGCTGGTGTCCAGGGATTTCCTTGCTGTCCCTGTTCTGACATCCCTGGGCAGGGCTGGGGATGGAGATGGGATGGGAATGGAGATGGGATTCCCGGGAGGTGCGGGGACAGCGATCCTGTGGGCTGCATTTTTCCCTCTTTTCCCCCCTTTGGACACCACTGACCTCTCGGTCCTTCCAGTTCTCCTCGTGCAAAAGCTCCAACAACCCCTGGTTCTTGTGGAATAAAAAGTTTCTGGGAATCAAGGAGCAGGTTTGGCCCCAAACCGTTTGTTTCCCGGTTATTGTTCACTTCAAATCCATCCTTTAATTTGGATTTGGGCCCATTTATCTCCTTTCCTGTGCTGGTCAAATCCCTCAGGAGCTTGTTTGGAGCTGGAGAGCTTCGTGCCAGTCCCTCTGCTCCTGTTGTGCCTCCTCAGCGGGATCCAATCCCACTCCCTGGCACATTCCTTCACCTCTGCACTAAGAATATTCGGGATGTGATTGTGCGTGGGAGCCTGGGAAGCAGCTGGTTTCCCTAGTTTTCCATGGCTGAGCCGGGGGGGAAAGGCTGTGACTTTCCAGCTCTTTATCCGGGTGCTCCCGGGCAGGTTTCGTGTCCCAGGTGGGATTTGGGGCTGAGAGGTGTCGGCAGCACAAGCAGATCCAAGGATTTTGTGGATCCCCCTTTAATTCCAGATCTGTTCCAGGCCACCCAGGTCTTCCAGCTGGTTAGCTGAGCTGGAATTGCCCCGGGATCGCTTGGAAACGGCTCTTCCCTGGTCTTTCTGGAGTTTACAGGGGAGGCTCCTCTCCTGAGCACAGCTTGGAGCGACCCTTCTCCCCCGAAATGTGGGGAATGGAAATTCCCGCCGCAGGAGGAATAGCTGGAGGTTTGGGAAGGGGTTAAGCGGCTCCCCCAGCCTGGTCCCGGGATGCCTGGGATGTTCCCGTGGCTCCAGGACAAGGAATAGCCGCCTCCTTCCAAATGCGGCTCCTGGCGTGGGCCGGGGACACGCAGAGCCCCGTCCCTCCTGGCACGGGCTGGGATTGATTCCCGGGAAGATTTCCCGGTGGGGAAGTGCAGGTGCCGCAGGAGATGCTGGGAAGGGGAGCACTGTGGTGTGGCCCCAGTTCTCCCAGCGAGGATAACCCCAGTTACCCCAGTGAGGGCACTGGTTCGCAGCCGATCCCGAGGAATGGCTCTGGAAAAGCCGCTTTTTCGGGTGGGGGACACTTTGTTTTGGCATCGCCCGTGCTCCTGTTTCCCTTGGAACGGTTGGAAGATGAGGAGTTGGCCGGGAACTGGGAGAGGGAAGTGTTCACGATCAGGAGGAAAGGAGGAAAGTTGGGGTTTTTTTGGACAAAAGAGGAAATTGCCTGTTAGAACATAACACGATTTGGGAGATTCCCGAGAGTGCTGTGGGAGGGGATTCGGGATGTGGGAAGGGGTGGCGCAGGCAGGAGGGACACCCAGCAGAGGGTGCAGGGCCTGGAAGGTGGGAAGGGCACCTGAAAAAGCTTTTCCCTGAGCTCGGGATCTCCAGGCCGTGGAAGGCAAAGCCAAGGCTGAGGGTCGAGGCGCGGGAGGGGCTGGAGGGGCAGAACTGCAGCCCGTGGAGGGGAAGGGAAAAATCCCATTCCTGGCACTGCCGGGAGCCGGGATCAGCCCCCGGGATCGGGCAGATCCCGCGGGACGCGGGGGCGGGACCAGCAGCCCACGGCAATGATCCCAAAATCCAGCTCCGGGAGGGGAATTTCCCCCCGTGCGAAGCAGCCCGCGGTGGGGCTTTGCTGCCAGATGGGGGCGAGTCTGGGGTCACTGGGGACCCCCGACCCACCCCAAACACCCCTCAAATGACCTGGAGACCCCCAGAACCCTTCCAGGGACCCCCGAGACCCCCAGGACCCCCAGGATCCTCTCGGGGACACCCGAGACCCTCCCAGGGCCCCCCAAGACCCCCCATGTTCTTGGGGTTCCCACCTCAGCTGGGGGTCTGGGGTCACTGGAGACCCCAAAACAGTCCCAGTGGCTCCCCAATGACCTGGAGACCCCCGGGACACCCCAGGACCCCCCGAGATCCCCCCCAATGACCCAGAGACTCCCCCCCCCGGACAACCCAGGATCCCCCAAGACCCTTCAAAACTTCCCCAGAGACCCCCTCAATGACCTGGAGACCCCATCCATCCTCCTCCAGTTTGGATTGGGAGGGGAAGGAAAACCAGCTCAAGGGGGAGCCTGGGCTGGTTCCTTCCCTCTGGAAGTGCCCAGGGAGCTCTGGGAGGGGAGCTCTAGGTGTCCCAGGAGCTGGAGCTGAAGGAGTGTTCCCCGGGAGATAAGGGAAGAGGGGATTTCTGGGAGTTGGTGGCTCTTTCCTGTCACAGGCAAAGGCATTGAGAGAGAGGACTGGGATTGGGAACACCCTGGGAAGTGGGAATGGTGGCATTAAAGGTCCAGAGGGCAGGGATAGATGGGATATTGGGAAGGAATTCTTCCCTGGGAGGGTGGGGAGGCCCTGGAATGGATTTCCCAGAGGATGCCCCATCCCTGGAAGTGTCCAAGGTCAGGCTGGAGCAGCCTGGGATAGTGGGAGGTGTCCCTGCCTGGGGCAGGGGTGGGATGGGATGGGATTGAAGGTCCTTCCCACCCAAACCATCCTGGGATTCCAGGATTAACCACTGGATGATTTACCTGGGGCACAACTGACCTGCTGTCCCTTGAAATCTTCACATCATTCCTGGGATTTCCCTCCGGAGGAGGGAAAGCTGCCGTGGGAAGGGGCTCCCTGGGGGTTGAGCTGGGACAGGAGAGGGGCCTGGGGGGGTCTGGCCAGGTTCTGTCCCGTCTTTCCCCTGCTCCTGGTGACAAAACCCTCCTGTTTGAGCAAACATTCCCCCTGGAGACACCCCCATCCCAAGGGGGTCCCGCCAGGATGGGCTTTAGGGAATGATCTTTAGGTCCCTGCCGGGATGATCTTTAGGGAATGATCTTCAGGTCCCTTCCAACCCTAACCATTCCATCATTCCATGAGCTTCCCCAGTGGCATTTTGTCACCCCTGAACCCTCCCAGGGTTCTGAGGAACAGAGCCCATGGGAAGGATCACAAACTTTACATGAGCCACAAATACCAGGTGGTTTGGTGGACAGTATCTCCTTGGAAGTTGCCAAATCCACAGCAGGAGGTTTTTCCTTCTCAAAGAATTCCACAAAATCCACCTGCTGCTGCCCTTGGCTCTCCTTGGATCCCCACAGGACCCAGGGGGCTCCCAAAACATGGAGCCCCTCCCTGTGCTCTCCCTTCTCCAGCACCACTACCTTCCCTGGGAATGGATGGAGCCTCCTTCCCTCACCTCGTGGAATCCTGGAATATCCTGAGTGGGAAGGGGCCCACAGGGATCATCGAGGCCAGCCCAGCCCTTCATGGGACCCCCCAAAATCCCTCTGGAGAGTGTTGTCCAAAAACAGCCCCTGAGCTTCCCCTGCGGGGAGAGGACACCAGGATGCCCCGACCCCACCAGAATTCCCAGTCCTGCCTCCCAACAGGGCCGGCTTGGATTTGATTCCAGGCACGGATGGCTGGGAAATGCAAGGAATTCCGTGAGGGAGCATCATCCTGCTGGGGGAGGGGTGTCATTCCAGGGACACCAACCCACTCCTTCTGCCAGGACCCTCCCACTGGGGGCATCCCTTCCCATGGGATCCAGGAGCAGCTTCCCAGAGGGAAAGGCTCTGGACAGGGGTCACTGGATACCATGGAAGTTGTGCCCAGTGTGGATGGTTCCTGTATTTCTGTGTCCTGGAGGCTGAACTCCCTCCCCGTGGGAAGAGCTGAGCTGGCTCCGGGATCTTCCAACACTTCCCTTCCTCTGGGATATTCCGCTCCCTCCTCTGCAGGGAACAGCCCCTCCTGCTCCAGATCCATGGATCCTTCTCCCTGCAGGCTCCTGGGAATATCCCCGTGTTCCCAGGATCCATAGACTGGACAGGTTCCTCATGGCCTGGTTTGGATGCAGAGGGAACACCAGTGGCCTCAGGGGGATTATTTAATCCAAATCCAGCATTTTTGAGGGATGCTGGACCCAGAGGGTCTTGCTGCTATGGAGAAGGATTTCAAACTCCTTGGAAATGTCATGGGAAAAGTCCTGCCTTCCTTTCACTCATGGGGGTTTGTGGCCTGGGCCAGGAGGGTTTTAATCCAGGCCCTGGAATTCCCTGCATGGAGAGGGAAGATCCTCCCCAGGGAGTCCTTCAACACCCTGGGAAAACCAACGGCAGTAATTCCACTTCACATTCCCGGTCTTTAAATCCTCATTAATGCCCAAAGCTTGTCATCTTTCCATGGAAACATGGGGGGAAATCCAAGCCTTTAGCTCTGGGACAGGCTCAGGGATCCCAAACAGGGAGTGCAGGGCTTGGGTCGCTCCTGGAGCGTCTCCCCAATCTGGGCCTGACTCAGGTTTGCTTAAACCCGGCTCTTGTGTTCCCAGCCCAGCCTGGCCACATCCCAGGACTGTTCCTGCTGCCTCCCAAGAGTTCCCAGTTCCCAGCTCTTGCCTTCCTTTGAACCATGTCCTGGGCTGGACCCTTTTCCCTCGTCAGGAAATTGCTGTGGTTGGAATGGACCTCGGAGAATGAGTCCAGAGGATCCTGGAATGGGTTGGGTTGGAGGGACCTCAAAGCTCATCCAGTCCCAGCCCCTGCCATGCCCAGGGACACCTCCCACTATCCCAGGCTGCTCC